CTGGCCTTTTGATCTGCAAATTGTTGTAAAAAATGCAGATGTGACCTTTTTAGGTGCCTACATAATGTGCACGCTTTGAGTTCATTGCAGTAGAGGCTCATCCCAGCCCAGGGCTATGGCAGGGACCAAAGAAGGAGTCTTTATATCAAATCAACCATTGTAACATAGAAGAATATCCCCTTCCTGCAGTATGATGGTGAAGAGTCCACACTTCCCCTACAGAACTCTCTCATTCTATCATTGATGCACATGTAGTCCAGGCCCAACCCATATCATCCTAGATAATGGTTTGAGGGCACATGGTGCTATTACATTGTGTTCTAAAGCTAAGTGTGATGCAGCCTAATCTGGTGGTCTTGGATGGGCTGGGGATTACCTTGTGGGATTTCTTACAAGCCCAATTGTGCTTTCTGAATGAAGTCAGAAATGTATAATAAATAAGAACTCCGTCAAAAAATTAACCAAAACCACAAGCTTTATACCAATTTACAATCCATGTCAATCACACGTTCCCATGAGGCTATGCTTACTGGCCCCACAATCTACTGTTGCACATACCATACTTTTGAACAGAGCACAGCAGGCATTGCTTGTGGCATTTGTCTCCAGAGGTGCGGTGTTGTTGACAATTTCTCCACTGCTTTCACTGAAACCCAAAGAGAAGGAACATGCGTGTGCACTTGAGCTACCAGGAAGTGGTTAATAATTGTAGATGGCTTACAACAAACATAACTTCCCCACCCTCCACCCCAGAGTTTCTACCAAACCACAATCCAATTTGGAACCTCCATAACAAAACAAATATTCATACTGAACCTGATCAAAAGCCTTGTTTTGTGTGAGGTGGTGGACACAGGCCTTGTGAGGTTAAAAAGAAACAAAGCATGTTCTCACCTTTAAAATATTTCAAAACACCAAGGGGATAATGTTGTGAACAGTGTTGTGAACAACAACAAATTACTGTATTTGCTCTGGGAGAAAATTTGTAGTCTTGCACATGAAAAACAAAAAAAGCTTAAACTGACACATAATTAAATGTTCATATGATTTTGCTCATCTTCTCACTGTTTAAAAAAATAAAACATTTAGAAACAATTGCAAAATCTTTGTCAGCATGGAAGTGAGCGGGAAGCTTTACCTCAGGGGTAGACAACCTTTCCCCTTTAAGGGCCGAGGGACTTCAGCTCCCAGAAGCCTCAGCCATGTTGGCCAATAGTCCCATGTTGGCCAATAGCTCCTGGGATTCTGGGAGCTGAAGTCCCTCAGCCCTTAAAGGGGAAAGGTTGCCTACCCCTGCTTTACCTCCTCTAACTTCTAGATTTCAGCTGGGACAGTGATCATTTTCCCTCAAGCTGATAGCCCACCCTTTTTGCCTATACCAATGATCAAAAGCCCTCATTTGTTATATCATATGTCATCCCCTGCTGTTGGCAACCTTGGCTAGAGAGAGATTTAATAAACACATCCTTGACACAATAATCAGAAGCAGCAATGGACACAGATCTATCCAATTCTAGTCAGAGTTTTACAGCTGCACAGCTACTTGTACAGCCATCAGTCAAAATGATTAAACACACGAAGACAAATTTCACCTAACCTAATTTGGGCTTCAAAATTAGCCATTAGCTGGCTCATTGTCTGATACTGGTAGGAATCTATCATATCAACTGGATGGAGAATCCAAAAAATAGATTCTTTTATCACCTGCACAGACTAGGTTTGACAACAGAAGGCAAATGAAACTGGATCTAATATCTTTCTGAATTTTTATAACTAATTCAGTCTGTTTGTTAGATGTCAGCTGCTGCCCATGCCAACCACATAATCTAGCTGCCCAGAGTGCCACCTGCCAAAATACTTATCTTTTACAGACTACCCCACTCAACTGCCTACAAACCTTTTAATGGGATTCCAGTCCAAACTATCTAAATTTCTCTCTACAAAGCTGCCTTTCAGGGTCCTGGGGTGTCTATTCAGTCAAAGGAAACGCTGACTCCTCCATGTCAGGGAGTGGGGGCAACATGCAGCCCATGGGCTTCACATGGTCCCCACTGTGTTGTCCTGGCCCCCACCTTCCACACTGCACCATATAAACCTACTGCTCTGTAAGATTCCTTGCACACTGAGCTAAACTTCACTTTGATGCTATTTCCAAAACCACTTCTTCTTTTCATCCTTCCTTCCTCATTGTAGAAAATAAACAGCACTTCCTTCTATTTTCCAGAAGTCTTGCTCTATCAAGAAGGAGAACGATCTAGGCCTCTAGGACTATCCTGCACCACAGAGGATAACGGTAACCGTGATATGAGGCTGGGGAAAACAGTCACAGACACTGACTTTCTGAACAACAGTGGTAATGAACACATATTCAGTGCTGATGTGGTCTGCTATGGGCTCCAGGGGTTCAATGTGATTTCCTCACAAGTTGCTCAATTGATCCCCCCACCCTGCACATACTACATAGAGTTCTATGCTGGACTTGCATGGAGTAATTCTACTAATTAGCAAGTATTCAATCCTGAGTTACTAGGAAAAGGCATAAAAAAGACACAGAGGGAAAAATGGAAGCAGAATATCTAAAAGCACCAAGGTAGGATGGCCTCATGCAGGGACTAGTCCAGAGGGCTCCAAGGGTATCTTTTCACTAAACCACAGTAGGGTGACATTTGGGAAAGGGAAGTTACAAACAATTGTTTAGAATGTCTTTTAAACTAAATGATGCAGGACAAAATACTGATCAATTGTGCTACAAGCTTTGTGAAAGCATGCCTGAGCATCACTGAATATGTTATGCTTCCAATTAATAATTTATACAACAGATATTTGGAGTTCAGTTTGGAGGCTATATTCAATAAACTAATAGGTCTATAGTTCTTGGGGTCCTGGTGATTACCTTTTTAAAATATAGGAATGACCATACTGGAAGTACCTGTAGTACCTGTCCTGTTGAGTTTATGCATGTCAACAGTCTAGCAAGTATGGGGGTCCACCAATTAGGATTGATCTTAAATATATCAGGCCGTAACATGTCACCATATTACCTTTGTGTTAACTAAAGGTGCTTTCCCTTTAGAATCTCTAGAACAATAGAGGATTCATTAAATCTATCATAGTCCACTAAGCTTCATCCATCAAATTACTAGTGAAAATATTGGCCAGTGGATAATCCATATAATGAACCTCAACACCTAAATCACAATTTATACAACAATCCTTAATTATGTACATAATAATGTGTCACTGGAACTATTTGGGATCTCTTAGATCTGGCGATTTAAAAGGATCTACAGAGAAATAATAATATTCACTAATATTGAGCTGCTCATGCATGTACTCCTTTGTGTTGGTAAAATTGGTTGGAGGAATAAATGTCACTAATATTGAGCCACTCGCTCATGAACTCCTTTGTTCTGGTAAGATTGGTTGGAGGAGTAAATGTAACAATGCCAGACTCAATTAAAGTATGTAAAACAGAAACCATTACTTTAATACATGTGGCTATTTGCTTATGTTGGTTTATTTCAGGGAATGCAGAAGTGAACAAGCAATGATTTCCTAGTAAAGACATGGGAACAGTATTGGACTCACTTATTCTGGTTGGGCACGGGACCTGATTTCCTAGTAATTTATAATCAGAAGAATACAAACACTCTACATTCCCAGCATCATTTACAGGGGGATATGGTACCTCAGAAGTAAAATAAGGATCATTAAGCTCAGATTCAGAAGGTCCCATTTTGACTGTTCAGCATTAAGATTGTGGCTTCTCTCAGTAGCATTACATTTCTCATTTTCCATATCCACCAGATCTCCCTCCCATATTTCTTCCTCTTTTGTATCTTTTTATGTGAAATCTATTGTTGTTGAAGGTGGGAAGAAATCCTTTATTGTCTTTTGAGAGTATGATGTGCTTCTGTTGTGGCAGAGAAATTTAAGAAGTGAATATTTCCTCCTTGTCAGCACCATCGTAACTTTGTTAATCTTCTAGTTACTCAATCCGACAGACCTTATCTGAAGGAAAGTTTCTTCAAGATGCTAACTACCCACACAAATAAAACAAATTATGGCCAGAGCAGTAAGTTAGCAGAAGATAGCAAGAAGGTAACTGCAACTCCTTTCCCCAGTGTAGAAGCAGGAGGGAGGCAAAGTAGTTTGATTCACTTACTTATTGCCACTTTAAAGGCCACTTATGTCTACACTCCAAGGTTGCAGTTGATCAATCTCTAGGTGTACATTAGGCTCCAGAAATGGCAATTGTCAAATTTAATTATCCCCTCAGGGGGACACAGTTGTTGTAGCTTTATTAGTTTCTTCTTTTAATCAGGTTCTGCCTTTTCTCTCAAGGCAGGAAATTTGTGCAGCTATTGCGCATGTCTCCTTTAAGGGGATGCAACTGGGCAATGTGGTTAAGCAACTGTTTGCTAATGGGAATATAATAATGAGATCATTGATCCAAAATTCTTGATAATAAGAGTGGCCGAGTGTTCCTAAACAAATCTCTTCCAGGCACAATGAGATGGATAAAATTGGAGCAAGTCAGAATGGGATGGCAATGCATTCACTTTCCTTTGCAATAGCTTCACAGTCTTCAGTTACTCATACTTCTGCAGTAAGAGCAACAAAATTGACATAAGGAGGAGAAAATCTGAGATTAACAGTTACAAGATTCCTCTTAAACTTCACTCCAGGACTCCTTAATCTTATCTAGTATTGTTCAAGCTTACCTAGGTCCAAGTAGTGCCAGCCAAGTTTTCATTTTAATGATTAAAGTATCATTAAAGCAAATTATACTATAAAACTGCTGCACCAGGCCCACTAATGTTTAATAAAATAGGTAAATGCAACCCAATTAAAAATAAAGATAGAAACCACTTAGACAGACCCACTATCTAGAAATGTCCTTCAAGTTGTTTTCAGTTTATTGCAAACCCAAGGTTGCTATTGCCTTTTTCTGAGGCTGAGACAGTGTGACTTGCTCAAGGTCACCCAGTGGGTTTCCATGGCTGAGCAGAGAGTCAAACTCTGGACTACAGAGTCCTAGTCCGATGTTCAAACCACTATACTATGCTGGCTCTGCTCGGTCCCTGTTGTTGTTGTCGTTTGTTGTTGTTGTGTGCCTTCAAGTCGTTTCTGACTTATGGCAATCCTAAGGTGACATTATCATGGAGTTTTCTTGGCAAGATTTGTCCAGAGAGGGTTTGCCTTTGCCTTCCTCTGAGGCTGAGAGTGTGTGATTCACACCCAAGGTCACCCAGTGGATTTCCATGGTCGAGTGAAGAAATGAACCCTGATCTCCAGAGTCTTCATACAATTCTCAAACCACTACAGCACTGGCTCAAAACAAATTTCAGGAGTCAATATATTTTAATTCTAAGTGTGTGGTTTAGTTGCTGGTTCATGGAGTGACAAGCAGCAGCACTACCATGGTTGAAGGCTCCCTGCAAAAGATGCCATCTTCTCCTCACCCCTGTGCTCTACTCCTCTCCCTGCTTCTTTTCCTGTAGATAATACTTCTTCTCTCTCCTTTATCATTGATTTTCCTTTCTTCTCTTCTCTGGGCTTTTTCCAGAGTGATCTAAACAAGTGTGACCTCTCACAATACAGTTCATTAGGTTTTGATGGTTGTGGTTGCCTCTTGGTCCTCTCATTCTGCATCAGTGTGCCCATTTCCAATCTTCTTGATCAATACATCACCAAATGTAGAGATTTCTTGAATCTACACTAGGACTCTCCTGAAGGTTGTTTTTAAATCTAGGGGGCATGTTTTCCTGAAGTTAAGGTGTGGTTCTACGACTGGAAGAACAAATTTTGTATTCTCTGAATTTTTCTTTTAAATTCTCATAGTTTTATAAGGCAAACTGTCATTTCACCAGTGCTCTGATGCATTGTGATTCTATAATGGAAAAAAGTTAAACAAGGTGGAGGGAGAAGAGGAAGAAAAGAGGATTAAAGAAGCATCAGGTGAGGGAAGTGAAAGTTCCACTGGTTTTGCAAAAACTTGTCACCTCATGCATCATTAGGGGGAGTGTCCCCCAAACACAGCATGAATCACAGCTATTGATATGCACATGCCCTTTGGGACTTTTTAAAATACCAATATGTCTCAGAAGTAAAAAACAAAATATTAAGTGTGGTATCCTGTTTTGATGCTAGCATGAAACCAGGTCCCCAAGAGAGATTACAGGATGCAATCACAGGAGACTCCTCAAGGAATGAGTAGCTCACTAGCAAGGATGACATAACAGCGTAGTCAGGCAACAGTCTGAATCAAACACAGTCAAGCAATAAATCCAAACGACAGTCCAAAAGGGAGATCCAAAAGTGCAGTCAATAAACTGAGCAAAATATGAGGTTATTAGGCAACACAAACCAGGAGCATGAGTCAGGAATAATGTGTCCCTCAAATAGAACTGTTGTGAGCTTTAATTTATGGTGTGTTGCCAGCATGCAGATGTTCCCTGAGCATTTGATCCTTAAATGCTCTGACCTCTGGAGCCCTTCCTTTTCCTTCCTTTGGTCTGATAGGGTGGGTGCTGTTTGCGCTGTGTCTTCTTGTTTAGAAACTGCCATGGCTTCTTGGCCCTTTGCCTCACTAACTCAGCACTCTGTCTCACCATCTTGACTGCCTACCTCTTGACCCTCTATTTCACTAACTCAGTCTGAGTCCTGGGGGCGAGACATGACAGGTGAGATTAAAAAGTTGCAGCGAGTGCCAGGAACATCCAGGAAACTGTGGAGCACAATGAAAATGTTGCTTTTATTTATTTTTTAAAATTGATAATCACAGCTACAAAGACAATAACTGTGAGCAATCTCCCACTGCATTTGCCCTGTCTGGAGGATCTCGGTCTCTCCCTGCTGCCCTTTCTGCTCTGCTCTCCATCCATCAGACTTTGTTTTTTTCCTTCCCTCTCCCCAGTACTTACTTTCTCTCTCTCTTTCTCTCTTCAGTGAGTCTGCTGTATGTATGAGTAATTTGGATCCAAACCAATTTATCTGTATTGTTTTTATTAACACAGACTTGAAACTTGATAAATGATGGCATTAAGAAAGTTTCCTCTGGAGCAACACTTTTAATCTCTCCTCACTATGTGAAGCCGAACTCTTCTAGAACATGGCCACACAGCCCCAAAAAACCACAAAAAATCTCCTCACTATCTTTCCTTGTAACTTTAAGGGAAAGGTTCAGTGCACTGTGGAGGGAGCTGCAGCTGTAGCTGATATCTTGATTTCCCACGAGTGCCCTCTGAGCCTGTGGGGACCTCTTCAAACCCTACAAACCAAGCAAGAGAAGTTTGTTTTTCTGAGTTTTACTTCTTTAGAAGATGTGTGTGATAACTACATTTCAGGCTGTAAGCCCCCAGAGCTGTGACCAGTGGTCTGGACCTGGTGACACCCTACATTCTAATAAAGAAAGGGAGAGAAACATGCAGTCCACAGTCCACATGTACCTTCCAGGGCTGTTTCCATGGCCTCCCAAGCTCCCCTAAGGGTAAAAAAATGCCCCAAAAATTTCAAAAAAATTATTCAGAATTTTTTTCAGCCTTTATTTTGCCTCCAAATGCCGCAAAACATATGGATGTGGAGGACATTTCCACCATGTTTGAAAGATCCTAAGTTCCCCAGGAAGAATGATTTTTGCTGTTTTTGCAAAAAAAACCCTAAACATTCATCTCCCCCCCCCCCATACCTTTTCTGCCCCATAATGCCTTCTAGGTGGTGTGCAGGGCATTCCCACTACATTTTGGACTCTTCTGTGTCAACCGAGACACAGAAGAGGCTTTTTTTGAAACAAAAAGTGAACAGTAAATGATTTCTGCTCACTTTCTTTTGTTAAAAAGGCCTCTCCTGGGTCTAAAAACCTAGTGAAAATGCCCTCATACCACTTAGAGGGCATTTGAGGGCAAAGCCACCCTTTTTGGGGGGTTGATGTGGAGAGATGTGGCCCTCAAAAGATTCAAGTGGAGCTAATGTAGCGCTCAAGACTGCCACAGTTGCCCCCCCTGTAGTAAAAAAACAAAGTTGTTCCAGTCTGTCCTGTGTTTTTCTGGCATATGTCAGATTCACCTTTGCAAAGTTAAGTGTTCAAGAGAAAGGGAAATAGTTGCTGTTTCCTCTGCTACATTTAACGTGACCTAAAGCCCTGTCCACTCCAAAGTGTAGCTAAAAAAGAAATCCTCAGGAAGGTCAGCCACACAGTTGCAATGGTGTCACTCACCTAAAGATACTTCCAGAAGGGCTGGTAGCCAATTCACGTGCCTGTTTCTCTGTCACAATGTCGGCTGTGACCATGAAAGATGTGTGTGGATGCTTGAGCAACTGAGGCCCCAGCAGGAAGCGGACTGTGGCTTGAAATTTGGTTTGGGTCTTCAGAACTTGAGGAGGCTGTTTATCCACCAGGAATGAGCTGAAGGGGAGACATAGAAGAGTCAGGAAGCTCATGAGCATGATAGGTGAGCTGTCAACCTCCAAACTCCACGGCCAACCCACAGATCAAAAGGACGGATAGAAAAAAATGATCTAGGGTAGGAAACAACAATTGGAGACTCCAGGGTGAAATATGGCCCCTGCAAATGAACTATTTGTCCTTCACCAGTTGCCTATACAGAGTCAGGAATGATGTATAAAAGAAGTAATAGCAGTAGCAATGGATTTGTCCTTAGTTTATTTTGAAGTAAATGACTATAACAATCTGCTCCTCAGAAAGGCTTTCCTTAAAAACTAAGTTTTATTGACTAATGGATGGAGAATTGAGAATAGTTAAATATGTTAATGACAGGGAAGAAGAATGAGGAGAAAATGGTGTAAAAAGGGATCAAGAGGACACCTGGTCTCTCATCTCGGAGGATCAAACATAAATACCAGCATCCCACTTCTTCAACAAAATTTTCTTTAACATTTCTACTGAGACAATCTTTCTTGCTTCTAAATAGATAATTGATAGAACCAGGACTTGTGATGTTGGCGAAGCAGGATTTCATACAGAGCTGTAGCACATTTCATCCCTTACCACTAATATGTAGTTTTACGCAACAGATGATGGGATGTTCCTCTACATTTACTTGCTGCTGCTGTTAGCCAATGATCTAAGAGGCTAAAGAATAGAGCACAATGATGTCAGGCCACACACTGTGTAAAATTAGAGGTTACAGTTGGCCCACCATATCCGAAAGGGTTTAGTTCCAGGACCCTGAGCAGATACAAAAAAAAAAAAGTACTCAGTAGCTTCCTTACTTTTTGATGAGGCCATTGACCACACTGTCCAAACGTTCCTGAAGAGAAGACTGAAGTTCAGTACCAGAGGCTACCAACAGCAAACGGAGCTGGAAACAAATGTCCACCAATCTTTCAAGCCTACCAAGAAACATGCCAGATGAGGTATTATTTCCTCCCAAACCAAATTTTTACATCCAAGCCAAGATCACACTAGCTCCAAGAGTCAGACTGTCAGGTGTTATTGCAGTCATATTTACATCCAAATATAAGCAGGGGGTTCCTGCCTTTTAATTCTATCAAATTTTAGAGGAGCATCCTAGGTTATCAGCAAGCAAGCAGAAACTGGATCCCAAATGAAAATTTAACTGGTTATCTAAACGGCTGCATCATCTAAACAGGACTGGGTGTTATGCTTATCAATGAATAATTCTCAATTTCATTGCATTTTGCTAAATCCCACTTGCAGTCTTGTCACAATATTTATTCATGAGACTGGCAGTATCTGGAAACTGGTTGAAGAGCACTTCAGCTTTCCTGGACATCCAATATGGGACTTACAAGTGGCAGTTTTTGAACAAAAAAAATATTAAAAGGATGACTGGAAAGAGAAACAGCTGAACTGAATTATATTCACAAATTCAAATCCATTAGCAAAGGTATGAACAATGATAAAGATTTGGTGGCACGCTACATAGATTAATACACAAGTCCTCATAACCATACATGCATCCAAAAGAGAAGATTTTGGGGTGAAGCAGACGGGGCAAAAGGAGGGGCCAGAGGCAACTGGATGCAGCATTCCCGAAACTGGCTGCTGCCACGGTCCCAAACAGGCTGGTGGCAGGAGTGGCTTTTT